ATTACCATAATATTGTTAATTTCAACACTCAATCTAAACTAAAGTGAAAAAAGTAATATCTATTTTTTAAAAAAATATGTAAATTTAAGTAATAAATATCAAGTGTAAAATATTTTTTTAATTTTATTTCATCCACTATAATCAAATATAATACAAAAACAATTATTTTATTCTGTACACCATTATCAAATATAATTATATTTTTATCTTCTTTGTTTTTACTGTTATTGTCTATTTTAGTACATAGTTTATATAAAACAATAAAAATATAAAAATAAAAATAAAATTATTTTTAAAATAATTTCAAAGTGAAGTTTTGTACTTCAAATATGAGATATATATATATATATATATATAAAATATATTTTTATAGACAATATTTATTACTTTATATTTCTAAAATATATTTATAAAAACTCTTAATTTTAAAATTATCCAAATACAACATATAAAGATTAAATAATTATTATAATTTTAAAATTTTATTTAAGAATTGATTCCCAGCAAGGTCTAGGCCATGCGTTAAAAGATAAATTTAAATCGGCACAAGTCAATGTAAAAATAAAAATAATTATTGATTTTAGTCAACATAAAAATATAAATGGTTATTGTTATAGTTTTAAAACTCGACTCGGAAATAAACCTAGAGCAATGATGGTGTCACAGGTCAAGAGGGTTAACCTGAGTTGATTTAAATTAACATAAAAATAAAAGTTGCTATTATTATAGTTTTATACCTTATCTAGAGGGAAGCCGGTACAAGCCTTGCATCGTAGATTTGGAAGATGAATTTAATTTGACCCGAGTCAATATATAGATAAAATTATAAAAGTTGTTATTATTAAAATTTTAAAATTTGAATTGGGAGTTGACCCCGGTCAAGGCCTAAGTAACGGGTTACGGTGGTCAACCTGGGCTGACTAAAAATTTATTTAAAAAATAATCAAAGCAACATCATTTTGATTAAAAAATTAAGAAAACTTTAATGGGTTTATGACTCGTGTTTAATCCTAAATTGATCTAAGTTTTTGATAAAGTTAGGTCAGGGTAAATCATTTCTTTATTTTTTTTAAAACCAGATTGATCTTGGTTGCAGATCAACCTATTATATTAGTCCAAATTTTATAATTAGAATTATCATAATATTGTTAATTTCAACACTCAATCTAAACTAAAGTGAAAAAAGTAATATCTATTTTTTAAAAAAATATGTAAATTTAAGTAATAAATATCAAGTGTAAAATATTTTTTTAATTTTATTTCATCCACTATAATCAAATATAATACAAAAACAATTATTTTATTCTATACACCATTATCAAATATAATTATATCTTCATCTTCTTTGTTTTTACTGTTATTGTCTATTTTAGTACACAGTTTATATAATCACACACACACACATATTGGGCAAAAGAAAACAGTAAGTCACATGTTCAATATATTTTGACTAAAGAACAAAAAAATTCTAATCCTAAGCTACAAGACTAGCAGGTAATATAAATAAATAAAAAAAATAACAATGAAAAAACAAAACCCGACTTAAACCTATTTAGAGTATAAAAAAAATATAATATTGAAAGATAAAAAAAAATAACAACAAAAGAAAATTCTAGTTAAATCAAGTTAACCCTCACAATTTGTGACTATGGATATAAAATTGTAATAATTTTGTAAAAAAATATTTTAAATAAAAAATAAAAAAAAAAACAAAAAAATTATTTTCTAATACATCTAATACATCAAATATTGAATGAATAAATAAAAATTCAACCTTTACATGCCTGACACTGGTCTGATCACCAAACATCCAGCATTAATGGCTCATATTTCAAGATTAAATTTGTATAATTATATTTATTTCTCAACTTTTTAATTTAATTTTAGGTTAAATATCACTTATTTTTTACTTTATTTTCACGTAAAATCATAAGATTGTTTTTGAATATGTGCATCCTTGCAAAATATTTGTTTTCTTTGATTTTATTCAATCGCTTTCATATGTGTCATTTTCTACTATCACTTAATTGAATAAAGAATTTATTATAAGAAATAAAGATATTAGGCACAACCTGATATATGATCCGCATTGTGAAATTAAATATTTTAATCTATATCTATCTTTTTATTTTTTTAATGTAGTCTTTAGGTATCATAAACAATTTTTTTTTTGTGTTTTATTTGTATAGATAATCATATGATTAAATATCTTAATTTATATTTATTTTTTTATTTTTTCAATGTAGTCTTTAGTTATCACAAACAATTTTTTTTGTGTGTTTTTTTTGTATAGATAATCGTATAATTAAATAAAAAACTTATTTCAAGAAACAATGTAATTAAACATAACTGAATACATAATCCGTATTACAAGATCAAATATTTTAATCCATATTTATCTCTTAGTTTTTTCAGTTTAGTCTTTACTTATCAATAATAATATTTTTTTTATGTTTACTAGCATAAATAAATTTTATTTTATTTAATTAGAAACATGTATAAATATTTTAATTTAAATTTTTTATGGTAAAAAATACATTGAAAATACTTATATATTCGTTTTATTGATGAAAAATAAAATAATTCTACATGGATAAAAAAAAATGTCAAATAGCTAAGTACTATTATGTATTTCAATTTTTATTTCTTAATAGGTGAGATTTTTGAATCAAATTTCATATGGTTTTCTTAGTTTTTTGTTTGCTGTGAAATTATTGTAATTTTATTCTGTAAATTGAAGAAATTTTTGTTTCCTTCGACTAAAATTTTGTATTGGGAGAAATATGGCAACTGCAAGTGTAAAAGATGATAAATATAATTAATCCAATAAACAATGGCTATAAACAAAATTAAGAAATCTCATCGCAGACCGGTCATTATCCTTTTCCATTCCACGACGAAACGCGAATTGAACCGGCTATGGTCAACTAACAAAATCCCCATTATAAATTTCAAAAAACTATTCATATATATTTTTTTCAATTAATAAAATAAAAAAAAACCCTGCAATAACAGTAAAGACTAGCCAATTTTTCACTTTTCTTTTTCCCTGTCACCATTTTTGCTTCCTTTTGACCTCCCTCCCTACCTTTTTCTTTGTCTTCCTATTTAGCTTACTAGAAAACGATCTCTGCAACTGTCGTTTCTGGATCCGCCGATCGGGA